CAGTGTGATCACATGTCCAAGGTATCAAGCATCATCAGGACAAAAAGTCCTATCATTGTGAATGAGGAGTGCAGAGGAGACCCAAAGTCCAGCTGTAGGCAATTGGACATCCCCTTAAGGAACAATGGTGGGGAGGAGACAAGCCAGTCAGGGTGCAATGTAGCAATGACGAAACATACTTTCCTCTAGTTCCTAAAAGCTTCCTCCCCACCCCCACCCCACTATCATGATCCCAGTTCTACATTACAAATCTGGTTAGATAGACCAGAGGATGTTCACTGGTATAGATAAGAACTGGAAACAGGGAATCCAGGATAGATGATCCCTTCAGGACCAGGAGGGTGGGGTGGAATGGGGGAACTGATTATAACCACCTCCTTGAGGGACAGACAAGTGGGTGAAGGGAGACATTGGACAGTACAAACTAACAAAATAATTTAAAATTATCAAGGGTTCACGAGGTGGGAGAGCAGGGAGGGGAAAAAATAAGCTGATGCCAGGGACTCGAAAGCAAATGTTTTGAGGATGAGGGCAATGAATGTACAAATGTGCTTTACACGATTGACTGATGGATGTATGGTGGTGAGTTGTATGAGGCCCCAATAAAATGATTTTTTTTTTTAAAGGGGTTTTGAGTTGCTGCTCACACCGCTATCGAAGGCAGTGCTTGCGCGGGAGGCAGGGCAGCATGATACCCTTGTGCGTGAGTGAACCACCAGGGAAGGTTCTCCCTCCGTAATAGGACTCCATCATTGCACAGGGTCAAGGTAAGGAGGGTCTCCAGGTGGCAGGCAGTTCAGTGACTGAGCACAACTGCTAAGGTAGATGGGAGCTGGATACACACGCGATGGTTTCCAAGGGATGAAACAGAATACTGCGTGGTTCCCCACTGGAAGTTCAGAGCCCCTCAAGCATCCTGAGTTATTCGACCACATTTTGCACACCCAGGCCGGAGCTTCACAAAACTTGGGACATGGAATCCAGTGGGAAAGTGAATAGAACAAGTTTTCCCACCACCTTTTTGAGAAACCCCTCCTTATCAAACACATTAAGTTCTGAGGTTTTAGTAAGGCAGAGCTTCCAGAACCTCTGAAAATCCTTCCCTCAAGATGTCTCTCTCGGCCTCATAAGCAAGGGGACCCTGGAAGATAGTTAGACAGCATGCTGTGGTCGTTCTAATACCACACTTCGGGGTGAATTATTCTCAGATCTGGGGGGCAGCTTCCAACCCTTCTTTCAGCTTCTGGTGGTCCCAGGTATTTTTTTCTTATGGCTATATCACTCCAACCTCTCCCTTCACCTTGGGTGGGGTCTTCCTGGCATTTACAGGACGTACCACCCTAATGGAATCAGCACCAATGTTGGTGTAGGTGTGACCTTGAGCTTCCAACCCAGGTCCCATTCACAGGGACTCTAGGTTAGACTTCAGCTTTTTCTTGGGGAAGCTGAGCCCATGTCAAGGATCAAAAGGCACCTGGAATTGAGAAGTACCTTCTGACAGGCTAAGGAGCTTAACGGTACAGCAGGTCAAGCACAGCACAGGGCTACTCCAGACAGGCCGGCAGCTCCCAGCTTTAGTGTGGGAAACCCTACAGTCACCATACCATGAGTTGGAATCTTGTCTCTTCTGACATGTCCAACGTACATAAGATGAAGTCTCGCCATCCATGCCTCTAAGGAGCACTCCGGCGCCTCACTTCTTTCAGTACAGATCTTGTCTGTCCTTTTAGCAGTCCAAGGTACTCTTCACCAGCACAATTCAAATGCATCGATTCTTCCACGGTCTTCCTGATCCAATGTCCAACTTTGACATGCATATGATACAATGGATAATACTATGGCTTGGAGTCAAGTGCACACAAGAGGTGACCCGTGAGCTTCAATGTAGGAGTGTAAGAGAAAACCACCATGGAAATTCAAGTATCTTTATTCAAAGATGAAAAATGTACCACACGGCATTACTGCAAAAGGTCATGGGTACAAAACTGCAGCTGGTGAAAAGGCAATAAAAAGTGGGGTTTTAAACTCATTACTATAAATAACTGTTGCAGCACTTGGCGGACTCCAGACTCACACTGCCCTCTGGCGGCCACGGTCAGGGGATCTCCATCTCCCTCTCAATGCCCACGTACTTCAGGGCATCAGCCTGGCTGTATCTGCAACGACAGGAGAGCCTGTGGGTGACGAGCAGCCAAGAGTGACAGCAGGTGCCACCGTGGCAAGTGGGAGCCCAATCCCCTCACACTGGCTATTATTTCTGCAAGTCTCAGGGTCCCAGAACCGGCAACTCTGATCGAGACAGTCCCAGGCTGAGAGGCTGCCCATCTGGCTGATCCCCAGAGGGAGACACGGGGCTGCCAGGCATGGTGAGCTGACTGTGGAGAGGCAAAGCAGCAGCTGTGCGGGCACCACAGGCTGGCCGAGGTGAGGTGGCAGGGCAGTCCAGGCTGAGTGCAGCACTGACCTGTAGTCAAAGAAGAGCTCCTCTCCAGTCTGGATGGCCCGCTTGGCAAAAATGCCGATCCTGTGGTCCCCGTTGACCATCATCACTGGAAGAGACAATGCGAAGGTCACCAGGGGTTTCACAATCCCCTCAGGCCAGAGTCCCCACGGCTCTTGCCACCTACCTTTCGCATAACAGTTTGGATTCACTGAGTGATTGGCAAAACGGATTTTATTACCCTTGCGGGTTGCATCCACCACAAAATCTACAAAGAGAAGAGCAGCGCAGCAATGAGTTCGCTCAGACGGTGGACAGCAAGCCAGCCAGCAACCTTCAGCCGTGAGCACGGGGGTGTGAGAGCCACTGCCCCCTGGGCCAATGCCAGCACTTGTTCACTCCAGGACTCTGCTAACTGAACACAGACTACTCTGGCCAACATCTAGCACACCCGCCTTCAGGTCTGATAGGCTGCACCAGCATTCATTCCTTGTGTAGGATGTCTGGGGCTGTGCCTGGGTACCCTGCACGCCGAGAACCCCACTGGCCATTATGTAGCCCTTTAATCTCTGTCCTTCCACCCCAGAAGGGACTGGAGTCGCCAACCCATGAGTCTTGGGCTGCCAGCCTTGGTGGTGGTCTCTGTAAACAATCTGCCGCAGGGGGTCCGCTAAATTCAGGGTGTGGTGAGGCTCAGAGAATCCACGCACCGTTATTGAGGTTGAAGAGGAAACTGCACATGTACTTGTCATACACTTTCCCTCTCCTGTCAGCCTCGTCTTGGGAAATGATCTGTCAGAAAAGACACGAGGGTTGGGTGGGGTCGTGTTGCAGGACACGCAGATTGTCGCTGCTCTGGGCCTTCTGAGAATGTGACCTTTAGTGCCCACGTGGAGGTGAACATGGACTTGGCAGCACCCCCCACCCAGCCCCCGGACAGAGAGACTGTCCCCAGGTCCAAGGAGCTGCACCCAACTCTAGAAAGGGCAGAGCCGTGGTCAGCAGGCTCACGGGCTTCTCACCTCTCCACAGTACTCGGAGATGAACTCGTTCTTCTGAACTGGGTCCTTGATGAAGATGCCCCAGCCTGCCACATCCGAGGGAGCCAGTAACAGATGCTAGGGCGGACAGTCTCCGTCAGCATGCGTGGGCAGCACCCACGCCAAGACCCGGGTGGTGGAGCCGGTTTGCAGGAGGCAGCCCTGGATGACTCACTTTGAACGTGGCTATGATACCCAGAGCTGACCCCTGGCAGGGCTGTACCCGTGTGCACTGGGTTGAGGTCACAACAGGATGAACAGCAACAAGTTCTGGATGGCCACATGCCAGCCCACACGGCAGGTGGAGCAACCAAGGCACCTAGCTAGTCATACTGAGTCTCAAGTTCCAGGTGGAAGCCGCCTGGCTGCAGTGCATCCACTCACGTGATAACTCAGTCCCAGAATGCACACAGATACACACAAGCACATGCCCACACCCTCTCCAGAGCAATCAGGAAGACCTGGAGGCAGTGAAAGTGCTTCACTGCAAACTGAGACTGGTGGCCCAGAGCATGAGGAAAAGCAAACCGACTGCCTCTGGCAGAAAAGCAGCCTCGGGAACCCTGCAGGGACACCCCACCCTGCTGTGCGCCTGAGGGTCAAGGCTGTGCCCCAGGGAAGAATAATGGCTGGATTCCCATAGACGGCCAGGCCTTCCATGCCTCTGAGCGGTCTGGAACCGCCACCGGCTGTCTGTAAGCGGCCCTGCCCCCTCGTCTATCTGTGCCAGGCACAGCCCCACTACAGCGCACTCACCTTCTTGGAGCCTCTCTGGATGCTACAGTTCTTGCAGGACACGTTCTTGCTGTCCCAGTGGTCGGCAGCCCCGCAGGTCAGGCACAGGTCAGGGTCACACTCGCGCACGGCCAGGTAGCAGGGGCACTGCTTGGTGTTGCACTGGGCTTTGCAGCGGCAGCCCGGGAAGCGGTTCTGGCCTGGGGGAGAGAAGCACCAGGGCTGCTCTGGCACTCCGTGTCCAGGGGTCACTGGCAGGTTCCCTCAGCCCTCACATCCTGTGGGAGTTTTACTGATTCTAATGTACGTGACAAAACTAGGGAAACCAGAGGTCCATTCTCACAGCACGTGTCCTAGGAGACCAGATAGCACAGTGCTGAGGCGCTGAGGACACTCTGCTATGTGCTGCAGTGGCGGCGGAACCCGGCTTAGTTTGCAGAGTGAGGCCCCACCCGGTTAGCCCAGCACTCACACTCAGAGCTGCACTGGCAGAACTTCTCACAGAAATTCTGGGCAATCACACAGGGACATGCGCTGTCACAGGGCTGCCGGGGGTGGTCACAGGGCTGGTAGTTGTACACATGGTTCGAGGAGCCATCTGAGTAGGAATGTGCAGGGAGACCAGTCAGAGGGAGGGCCCTGAAGCAGCCCACACAGCACGCCCACCCCCTTGGGAGGAAATCCACGCAGTCTCTGTGCCAGTACCCCCCACCAGCCTGGTGAGGGGGTGGGGAGAACACGAACCCTTCTTGAGCTGTATCTTTCTGCAGTGTGCCGCCCACAACCTGCGGACAGAGGAGAGCACAGTCCCATAAGACTCCAGGGAGTGGGGGGCCACGCTGCATGTGGCAGTGACACACTGTCCTGCAAATTCGAGCCTGTATCCCAGCAGCCTCTGCTTGGCTCAGAGCAACCCAGTCTTTGTATTGCCGCTCACTCCACAGCCCACGCTGAACAATGGATGACCCAACTAATGGGGGTTCAGACAAGGGAAACCACAGCAAGCCTCAACTCAAGCCCCCGATGGTCTGGGGAAGGCTGGCCAGGCTTGGACAGACAGTGAGTAAGTAACCCACCCACACACTGTGGCTCTGAAGACCCGTCTGCCCAGCCCACTCCTACACCTAGTGACCAGTCAGACACGCACCCAGCAGCTGTGTCCAACCTCAGAATGGCAGGGCTGCCTGCCTGGGAGACACGGCTACATATGCCCTAGCCTGATGAGCTATAAATACTTAGCTTAGTTTTCTGAACTTCCCCTGTGGCCCCTGGAGACAGCTTAGTGCAGACAAGCAGAGAGAGTACCCTCCACCCTGCTGGCTTCGCCTAGGTGGTGCAGACTCACCGATGTTTCCTCTTCTTCTTCCTGGGAGGTGTGTCAACATCCTCGGCTGGGGCAGGCGCAATGATGCTGGACTCCTTGACCCTGAACTCGTACACCTGACAGGAAGCATAGCATGAGGCGCCTCCTCACGGACACTGAGCTTATGTTCTCCCCCCTGACACTTCTAACAGAAGCCCAGCAGAGACACCTGCAAGCTCTCATGCCAGCCCCTCCTGAGGACAGACTTCACTAAAAGAGCAGGTAGTGCCACAGGGCAACAGGTTCCAGGTTGTCCTGCCGAACCCACCTGTCTACAGGTCTTGGTCCCAATGAGCCGCGCAATGGCACAGAAGTTGTCATAGTAGGTGCCGATAAGGACCCGGAACATGGATGCCTCGGCGCCACTCCACTCCACGCTCTCAGGAGGCTCAGTATTTGGCTTCATCTTGATGGGTGTTTGGCAACGAGAGTTTGCTTCTGCAAGTGCCCATAAACATTATCAGTCAGGTAACTAAAGGCCAGCTTAAAAAAACATTAAGGATGTGAGACAGTGGGGCAGGCTGAACACCATGCCCTCCCACCATGCTCAGAGCAGTAGCACTGCTCAGAGGGCCACCAGGAAGAGGGAGCAGGAGGAGAAGAGCGTTAGGAATAAACGTGGGTGATCATCCACCCCCTACTTTGTAATCAGCAACACCCGGGACCTGCAGAATCCCTGGGGCCCAGCTGGGCTCTGACCCGAGGAGCTAGACGTCTCATCCTTCTTCTCCTCCTCCTCCTTGTCGTTATTCTCCCCGCCCGTCTCCGTCCCTGCCTCCCGGTCACTGTCCGTGTCCTTGGACTCCAGAACATTGATGGTAGGAGTGCTGGGCCGGCTGCTGTTGTTGGGCAGCCGGCCCCTCCGGCGGCCGCCAGGGCGTTTGGGCGGGGTCTTGATCCGCTCAGCCGTGAGGGCTGCAGCGAACTCCTTTGCTCCCTCCTACAAGAGGAAAAATGCAGGCATGCAGGCTAAGTTCTAGAACTCATTTTGGGAGAGTAGGAAAAACTGTAAGAAATCTGTCACAGTATTCATTAATCACCAAAGGTCACTGGCACAAATGGAGACACTTGTTTCGAGAACTTCGGAGGGTTGGCAGGTGCTAAGTTACTATACTGGTAGAGATCAGACAAGATAGCTCTGTACTGGGTGTGAGGATTAAGCTAGAAGGTAAGGGTGTCCAACCTGTGGTAGGATGGACAGGCATACTTTGGCATGCCCCAAGGAAAGAGGATCACTAGCAAAGGCCACCATAGTTGAAAAGAGATGAAGAGGAAGACCCTCCACTCTTACCAGATGCTGGTAGCACTGCGGCCCACAAGGCTTGTTGTCAAGCGCGGTTTCTGTGTTCTTCCGCTTGTAGGTGTTGGGAGTTGCATGAAAAGCTGCAACGTAAACCCACCATGAGTGTCCGGGTCAACTACGATGTACCCTTTTTACCATCGCTCCCTCTGCACGCAGGTCCACAACCCACTCTCCGGCCACTCTGTTTACTCCGTTAGCGAGAGTGGGGCAGGGTCGTCCCCGGCCGCACAAGGGACACAGGCTAGGACTTAGCGAATGCCGAGGATGGCTGGCACTTCCTGACCACGGGAGGACGTCATTTCATGTCACTGCCACAGGAATTCTGGCATCAAGATTTCCTGATTTCTGAAGATCAGAAGTCCAGCTGCTAAATGAGCAACGAGGCTGATTCAGCGCAATCCAAAGCATCCGGTCACTAAAGCCATAGGGATCCCACAAGAGTCAAGAGTCTCAATAGCTGAGGGAGAACACTGGGGACTGAAAGTTCCCAATGGCCTGACAAGGACACTGGCAACAGAGCCCACACCCCAATCACAAGGTGAAAACTATCTAAACTAAGGTTAAAAAGCAACTTACTCATGAAGCAAATGGTTTAAACTCTTTGTAAAAAGGCCGTCTTTTCCTTCTGTCCATGGAGTTGAAAGGGGGATATAAGGCCCCTATCAGTGTTGGTGGCGGGGTGGGGGGGGTGGAGGGGTGGCCCCACTTGTGTCTGACCCAGCATGGGGTGTCATCTACAGGAAGGAGGAATCCGAGGCAGATTCTGCATCTAATCACCAGCAGGAAGGTTCCTTGACAGACTTAGTATGATAAAATGAGTTCAGGTAGGCTGTCTGCTCCTGCACACACTGTACCCATATTTCTACATTGAGCTTCTTACCCAAATTCTGCACACACCCCTGCAGGCAGGCAGGCAGGAAGGCAGGCAGGCAGGCAGACACACACACACACACACACACATACACACACACGTCTGCAGCCCCTCTGAATCACACTTAGAAAAGCAGGTGATCAGGCCCTGCAGGTGAGCCCCAAGCACCCAGTGAGAGAGAACAGGTCCTGGCCATGAGGAAAACTAACTTGTCCCCCTTCACTTCCCATGTCATTCAGCCAAAACCAGAAGAAAAGCCCATCTTGTGACGAGCGGGGATCTCCTCAGCAAAAGACATCCATCATTTTTGGGGGAAACATTAAAATAACTTTTTCTTCTAAGGCTCAATGTGGAAACCACACTAAGAGAAGTTGGCTTTACCTCAAACTTACCTGTAGCCCCTGGACTTAAAGACTGAAACTCCCCAGTGTGGGAAGTGCTATCCCAAGGGCACAGAACTGGCAGTCACTGGACTTTGATTCAGATCTCTTGCCCAACAAATGGTAGCCCAGAACTACCGCAGACTATTTTAGTGCTCTCCTGGCTTCATGGTGACATGTATTAACCTGGTAGGTAAGTTTTGCCCTATCACCAACCCACACTGTATAAATTATGTCAAGTCACTTAAGAGCTTAAACTGTAAGTCAATAATTCATGTATTATAGTTCATAACTGGCCAATACTGGTACAATTCCCTTTTCTAAACAGTGTTTTAAATTCTATACCATTGGCTAAATTAATGACATTATCAATAGAATTACCTTACGGCCCAGGAGGATTGATAGTGTTCTCTAAAATAAAATGACAATAACGCCTCTAAGATAAACCTGGGACATATATAAACTACAGACACATGAATGGGTTTGTGGCTCGCATTTCAGTCTGGCCCCAATCTAATAACATTAAGTTCTTAGGACATGGTCCTGCTTGTTGCTTATGCTGATAAAGAGATCACTGAGAACAGGAGTGCCGTGGTACAGTGTAAAGAAAGGAGAAAGTGCCAGCTATCAAAAATAGTCTCGGGTCAATCCAGAACAGATGATCCCTTCAGGACCAGTGCTAAGAGTGGCGATACCAGAAGGATGGAGGGAAGGTGGGTAGAAAGGGGAAACCGATTACAAGGATCTACACATAACCTCCTCCCTAGGGGACGGACAACAGAAAAGTCGGTGAAGGGAGATGTCGGACAGCGTAAGATGACAAAATAATAATAATTTATAAATTATCAAGTTTTTGTGAGGGATGGGGGTGGGGAGGAAGGGGGGAAAATGAGCTGATACCAAGGCTTCAAGTAGAAAGCAAATGTTTTGAGAATGAGGGCAACAAATGTAACAATGTGCTGGACACAATGGATGTATGTACGGATTGTGATAAGAGTAGTATGAGCCCCCAATAAAATAATTTTAAAAAAACAACTTGGATCTTAAAGACTTATCTTCAAACAAGCAGCCATCTAATGAGGCTAAATCCACAGAGAAGAAGCATACCAGCCAGTGTGATCTAAGGATTATAAATAATAAAATCCAAAATCCCAAAGAAGGAATAGTATCAGAGCTGAAGTTGTGAACACTCAGCTTGCAGGCTATGGATGACAGTGGAAGCACAAAATCCATTTGCAGGGTCTACATATGGATCAGCCTCTGGTGAATCCCCTGTGACTATAGACCAGGAATGTGAATAGCTTTGCTATCATGCAGAGTGCATTAGAAAGTGGATTCTTGCTGATGCAGCTAGGTTAAAATTTGTTCTGGTTTTTAATATCTTCTACTTTCTTTTGAATTGAGGTTTTCTGTTTTACTTTGTTACTGATAATGTGTTTAATGTAGATAAAATCCAGGACAGGTAAATCTAGAGAGACAGAGAGTAACTGGATTGATGATTTTTTGAGGGCACAGAAGAAGTTGTAAAAGAGTACAAAAGGAAGAAAATGCTCAGACATGAAATGCAGTAATAATTGTACAACTCTACGATTAAGTGAACCACTGAATTATATGACTTGTGAATTATATGCCAATAAAACTGTTGAATTAAAAAAATGATTTCTTCTAGAAATACCATTGAAGCTTGAATATGCTGTGCAACCCTGCGCAGGTGTCAGAACATCATCCTGCTCACCACGTGAGTGTAAAGACGGAGGAGCTAAGGGAATCTGGGATTTAGAAGGAAATCTACTCCCCTGGGCTCCCGAGGTCAGCTGGCTAGCTGGTGGCAGATGGGATTGAGGCTCACAACTCTCCCCACACTGGTTCTTACACGTTCACCGACTAACATCTGCTCTATGGGAGTGGGCCTGAGAAAAATTGGTAGCGGGCACACCTGAATGGGATGACTTCAGCCCAAACGTCTACTCTCAGTGAAGCTAAGGTTCTTATTTCTATCTTCCTAAAGAAAGATACCTACTCAGCCTCTCTCTTCCCTGTGTTACTGTGGGTTTGACCAAGGTGAAATCAGAACCTGATCTCGAGTTGGCTAAGCAGCCATCTTTCACTGTTCCTGGAACCTCTGAGGTGGAGTCACTTTCCCTCAGTCGGGACCAATACCCTACAATTCAGGGTTTCATACCAGAGTTGACCCAACCTTCTCCTTCACCAAATAAAACCCCTATCACATCACAAGCACTTCAACTAGAATTGACCAGGTCCAAATTCAAGCACATCCCCCAAGTTGAAAGGTTTGATTTAGAAGTGCTGCCTTCGTCAAACTTTTATCAGGAGAGAAGGAATCATGTTAAGAAAATGTGATTTGACCATTCCCCTCCCTTCCCCTGCATTTCTTCCCCAAGGCATAAGGGCATGAAAGTGTTCCTTCAGTAAAAGACAGCTACAAGCACGGCCCTGGTCTGATTCAACTGGAACTTGGTGTGAAAACTAAATCTCACTGAATGTTCCGCAGACCCTCAGCATAGATGGGATTGTGGGGGTGCAGGTCCATGGGCAATTACGTGAACTCAGCAAGCCCTCGGAGACTGAGAGATAAAGTGCTATTTAAATGACTCTAACACTGTATTTAGTATCCTATATACTCCAGAGATGGTGTACAGGATACATACAGATGTGTCCATTTCACCTAAGGGCCTGGAGCACCCATAGATGTGACTAGTTGAGGGGTCCTGGAGCCAAAGACATCAGAGCACACTATTTCACACACAGCCTGGGACAGTAGTGACAGAATAGGGGCAGCATCCAGGGCCCAGGTTCCAGCACTAAGCCCCACCTCATTCATCCTCACAAAACCCAGCTGGGACCATCATTGCCATTTGCAGAGAGGGAGCCTGCCAACAGCAGGTGGCCTGCCCGTGACTGGTGCCCTCCTGACAGACAAGCTCTCTCTTACAGAAACATTCAAAACTGAAGCACAGAGGGGGGGCAGTTCTGTCCCACTACACGTGCAGACTCAGCCATAACAAAGACACTTTCAGCTATCGGCCAAATAGTGTTAAAAATCTCTTCAAGTAACAATAAACATTCCATAAAGACTACTCAAAACATTTTCACCAGCTACAAATGTAACCCTAAACAGAGCAACACCCATGGCAAACCATCTCTAACCTCCCAGGTGCCTCTTCTCAGCCCGGCCTCCACAGGACCCAGAGCAGCCCACCCCTGCCATGGCATCAGAATCAGGTGATGACAGCTCCAGCCACACTTACGGTGCAGGAAGCAATCGTACTTGAAGCAGCGTCGGCAAAAGAGGGTGTGGAAGGAATGCAGGCTCTGCTCCCGCTGCACAGACTTAGCATTGGGCCCATCTATGTTGGGGGTGCACTCGGGGGGCAGTGCCCCGGGCAACTGCTGCTCAGTAAGCTCCTTGTACCTGAAGACACAGGCAATGGCCTTAGTGAGGTGATGCTTTAGATATTTCACACACACACACACACACACACACACACACAGAGGCAGAGCGGCCTCACAAAGACTCGTCTCACTTTTCCTTGAGTTCTTCAGCTGAGCCCTTGTCTGGAAACATGGAGGAAATGGCTTCAAATATTTTATCAGAAGGAAATTTCCGAGGTGGACAGCTTTCTTTATCTAAAAGGAAATATGAAAGAACAGGGAATAAAAATAAAGAAATCCTCAATCTTCTGTCGTCTGCACACACACACAAATGGTGATCTCCGGCAGAGCTGAAGCCATCTACTTTGTGTCTCACTTCCTTCCCCAGGGCTTCACGGGGTCTGTGAAGGACCTGTGGAGTCCTGCTGGCACAGGAGGTCATGTGTTGGGCTGCAGTTCACACTCACCAGCCACTCAAAGGGATAAAAAGGAAGCTGCCTGCTCCCTTAACAGAGTTACAGCTTTGGAAACCCTTGGGGCCCTTTCTGCAGTGAGCTTGCATTTTCTGTTATGTGGTGGTTGTTTTTTATGAAGTATTTGCTCTGATAATGATTGTTACAGTCTCAGAAACCCTATAAAAGGGTATTAAAAATCAGAATAAACACATGGCAATGGGTTTTTGTTTGTTTTTAAAGTGGGGGTGCATTGGCTAATAAAGTTCTTCATTCTTGAAAAAAGCAGATGGCATAGTGAGTTACACAGTGGGCTGCTAACTCTAAGGTCAGCAGTTCGAACCCACTATCTACTCCAATGAAAGAAAAAGATGAGGCTGTCTATTCCAGAAAAAATTTAGTCTTAGAAACCCAAGGGGCAGGTTCTACTCTTGTGCTACATGGCCGCCGAGTCTACATGGCTTCATGGCAGTGGCTCTGGCTGAGTCCTATCTGTGAACAAAGGAGCTCAACACAATGACCACAGAAGGCATTTAGTGTCACATTCTATGTTTTGCTCAAAGAGCAACTTTCCCTCAAATTCCTTTACACAGCACCATCCCGTGCTCTACCATGGACCTCCGTCAGAGAACACCACACATGGTGCCAGCTCTGTGCCTGGCATGCCCGGGGAAGAGCACAGATGTGCTGACCCCAGGAAGACGCACCGTCAGGGGCCTCCTCCAGATCTTTCTGCTTCTCCTCTCGCTCCTCGGGCTCATCTCCCTCCTCGTCATCCTCCTCGTCACTGTACTGGCCCAGCGCGTTCACCAGCTCCACAAAGATCTCGTCGTTAATAAACCCGCACTCTGAAATGCACCAAAGCCTGTCGCTTAACGCCCAGGGCTCACTGTTAAAAGCTTAGGTCGGACCCCACGCAGAGCTGACCTCAGCAAAACCAGGGACCCACTTCTAGACCTAGCTGTCTTACTCCTTCTGGAAGGTGACCCTCTCTCCAGACACTGTGGCCCACCTCCAGGGAGGGAGCAAAACCCAGGTCTTGCTGACAGCTGAACCCAGGGACTCACTGGTAGGCTCTCCCCACCAACCTCCCCATAGTCTTGATCTGAGTGAGCTTTCTAACAGCGGTTCTGATGTCACAGCTTCCTTTCCAACCACCACTGCCAGGTGCCTGTCACTAAATAGCAAACACAGTGACCCAATTTACAAACAGGACTTGGGCCCAGGTCAGCTCTCAGTGATCAGCCCAACAAGGAACTTCTATGTTTAACTCCTCTCCAAGCCCACTGACCCCTTTGGTGCAGCAGCAGCCCAGACTCACCTCTGTCCCCATGCACCTTTCCATCATAGTTCTTTATCAATTCTTCAATGAATGTCCCATCCTGGTCTAAAACTTCATCCCCCATGTATGGGATGTTATGTAAAACTGTCTCGTCTTCCACCTAGAAGTATAGACCCACGTGAGGAGACCGTAGGTGCTTCGGGTCTGTCCTTGTCTGTTCTCCAGACCTCTGCATCAGACAGCATGTTCCAAACATCCAAGGAATGAGCCCCTCTCATCAAAATAAACCTAGCATCTTAGGAAAGAACTGTTCAAGGAAATAATTTTAAGAAAACAAACGTGATTTTAGCTAACCTGTCATCATTAAAGCTTTGCCAATTATCCTGAGTAAGGAAAACCACCACTGACACAGGGCACCAACCAGCCAGGTCCAGATGCCTCCCTATTCTCAGGTGCTAGTCAAGTTGAGACAGGAGAGTCTCAGAATTGAGAATACAATTTATTCACATCAACGATAAATGTATTTTTAAAATAGTATAAGGCTTTCTAAACTTCTTTTCATAATCTCGTCATAAGAGGCACTGAATATAATACAATTCATGGAATAGAGTACCCATAGTGCAATAAAGTAGGTGCTACATGCTTTCCAGCCTGTGTGCAGAGTTGTACCAGGTCGTAAAGCATGGCCGTCAAGGTGGCAGGCAAAGAGACAACAGGGCTGGGGTGAGTCTATAGATAGAGACATGTGGGGATGCTCCCCAAAGCAGCTTTGATGGATAGAGGGTCCTGCAGGGCAGTTGCTAAGGACGCATCTTTTGAACAGGGTGATCACACCAACCCAAGTTTGTCCAGCTCAGTCTGCAGATGAGGTGGGCAGAGGACATGCGTGACCATGAGAGCGTCCACCCAGCAGCAGTGCTTCAGACAGCTGGGCAAGTAAGGCGGAGAAAGTCGCAAGCAGGTGGGAGCAGTCTTCTCAGATTTAGCCAGTGTGCACACTTGCACACTGAAGCAGTTCCATGTTGGGGGATGGCGTCCTTAAAAGGAGCACCTGAGTGGCTCCACACTGTTCAGCGTACTTGGAGGGTACCAGAGTCCACCAGTCCTGCCCACAGAAAGGTCTGCAAACCTGCTACCCAGACCACAGCCCCAAGGCACCCTGCAGCCCAGTGCTCTGGCACAGGGAGCTGTCGCCAGGTGGCGTGTTTAGTGCCTGCTGTTAGTGGAGCTTCTCTGGCTATCAACCAAAACTGGGTGCCAGTTGGCCACTCCGTCTTCCCAACTGCAGCCCAACAACCTTTACTGCCCAGCCCAGGCCTGGCACGTAACATGCCAGCATCCCTTCTGAATGCCTCGGGAGCACAGGAGGCCTCCTCAGACTCCGAAGGTGACCGAGGCCCTCACAGGCAGTCTCTGGGTGCCGGCACAGGTGGAGAGACGTCCAGGAAGTCTCCAGATACAATGCAAGCACCACTCCAGAAGATCTAGGAGACAAGATTCTACTGGCGGCGCTCAAGGATCCCCTTCACCATGTCATGCACATGACGCTCTTTATCTAAAGGCACCTCAGAACACAAACTGGGCCTTCTCTTCCCCTCTGACCCATCTCATCATTCATTGTCCTTCTGCCACGAGTTCAGTGCCAGCATTTCCTACCTGTCACTGGACATGTGGCAAGCTGGTATAAACTGGTATCTGAGTTAGTTTATTGTGCCAACCTGGCCGATAAACACATGTGGGGCTAATTGAAAGGCAGAGGGATAAATGGGTGGTGAGCCTCGCCTTTCTAGTGCTCGGGTCTCTTGCTTTGTGATGGTCGCACCAGGGTGCAGCTGCCTTAGCAGTTCCCTGCTTCAGCTTGCAAGATTGACTTGCTACAAGACATCCCCAAGGAGAGGCCACATGGACCTATCCCGATGCAGCCCTGGGTGCTGGAGCAGCCGTGTGGGAGACCCCTGCTAGTGCTGAGATGCTTATTCGTTCACTGACTCAGCTTTCCTCCTGCAGTCGGCATCATTGCCTCTGTTTTGTGAGGTGGAGGACTTTGTGGACTGGTGTTGGGTTAATGGGTTAATGTTGGACTTGTGGGCTTGGGCAGCATTGGGTTGGGATGTTTTCGTGATGCACACTTTCTTTACATAAGACTCTCTTATACATGAGTTGCTGTGGATTTGTTTCTCTAAAGTAACCAGATTAATACAGTACCCAAGCTGGCTAGGACACCAACCACCCTGCAAACATCTCATCATGCAGATCATGTCCTAACATGCTGCCTAAAACACTGTGAAGTTACGAGTTCTCAACAGACAAAATCTGAAGTCAGATCAAGGCTGCAGAGTGCTGACTGGGCTCTCAAGAATCAGAACTTGGCAACAGATGTACACATGTGCTTGATACAATTGATGTATGGATTGTTATAAGAGCTGTAAGAGCCCCCAATAAAATGATTTATTATTTTTAAAAAAGAGTAAGAAATTGAAGCTTTATCTCTTCAAATAGATCCCAGGTGTGGACTTCAGCCTACCTAGATGGGGCTGGAAAAGAGTCTGCCTGGGGTTGGTCAGGCCCCTACCTCTAACCCTGGGGATGGCCAGCCCCACCCCCACCCGACCCTGGAGATGGCCAGTCTCCCACACCTGACCTAGAGATGGCCAGCCTCTCCCCCAACACTGACCCTGGAGATGGCCAGTTTCCCACCCCTGGCCCTGAAGATGGCCAGCTCCAAACCCCTGACCGTAGGAATGGCCAGCCCCCCACCCCTGACCTGTGGCTGACAGCAGAGAGGGAACACGGGTACGCACCATGAAGTTCTGCTGCAGGGGGGACCAGGAGTACATGATGGGCACCGAGGCAACCGCGTTCAGCGTCTTCAGAGGGATGGCTTGTGTGGGGAAATCCAGGTCGCTGCTCACTGAACACTGGGGCAAAAACGACAGAAGTCGCTTAGGCATGGGCCGGCCCGACTGCAGGTGGCACAGCCGCTTCATCGCAGGGCAATGGCAGCTCTCTACTTGAGCCAGTCATCATCACTCACAAGATCCTCTCCTTCACCATCCCCTCCTTTCTACTTAGGGTAAAAACAATCCTGATGTTTTCAAACCTCTGACCCTTTCCATACTCACCACTCTCAGGAAACAAACTGCTCTGAATGTCATTAACTAACACACACACTCAATGTGCTGGACTCACTGCCTGCCATCACCCACAAGGAACAGCAAGGGCCTGGCAAACAGGCCACCCACCATTTCCTAAGAAACAAAGCACCCTTTCTGCCCCCACTTTAAACACCTGTCACTCATTCTTGTGATCAGGTGACAGACAAACGTGTGGCAATACATCTGCCTGAGTTTCCATCACAACCAAACAGCACCAACAGATTCCGTCAAACTGTCATCAGGGAATGGGGACTGACAACAGCTAATTGGGCTTCCTTCTCTGCACTACCTGAAATACACATCATTCCAAGATTGGGCTCTTAGCCCCATTTTACAGGTAAGGCGATTATGGCAAAGAAAGGTCACACATGGACCACTTACGCCACAAAACCTGGCTCTGAAAACCTGCCCTCACCCAGTACACACTGCCCTTCTCCAACCTTCCATACCGTATTTCATCTAATCTACAAGGGCATCGAGGGCATTGTGTTGGGGCACCCATCACTTCTTGCATCACTGTGGAAAAGTGCTACCAATGAAACACTGGCCCAATAATGTCTCATCACAGTGCTCCCATTCCAGATGTTCAAATGTGGCCACGCTTGCACCTTTGATTCTATGAAATACGGTAGGTCTGTGCCAGAGGCGCCCGCCCTGGGCACTACCCAAACAAAAAGCCCACTGCCAGAGTCAATTCCGACTCGCAGCGACCCTATACAGGGTTTGAGGAAGTAGGATTTACAGGAGCAGGCAGCCTCATCTTTCTCTTGTCATGCAACTGATGGGTTTGAACCGCCAACCTAGTGGTTAGCAACTCAACGCTTATCCAACAGGGCCCAGGAATCCTCGTTCTTGTCTAGCACCCCCACCTAGTTACAGACTCCAGGCCTGCTCAAAGCAGCTAGAGCAGTGGGTGGAACACATTTTATATACACTGGTACCGAAACGTCCCATTGGATTCAAGGTCTGAAAAACGTTCGGCTCTTTAAAGCAGTGGAATCTGAGTAGGGCTGCCCTCACCCCGGCCAAGGTGCTGCCATGCCAGTCACAGCCACAGAGCAGAAACTCTCCCCCATGGTGGAAGGGTAGTTAGTACTGGGGTGTGCTGGAAGGGGTGGGTTGGGGGGTAGCCCATAACCTGCATGCCCACCTGCCAACATTCCAAGGGCCTTAGAGCCATGTCCTCCTCAGGCCCAGCAGGTTACAAGTGTTGAGCAACTGGCAGCCTCTGCTCTGTGCTAAGCAGTCCTCCCCTCATGACAGCCTGCCAGGTCAGGCGAGGGATAAGGTTGGGAAGGGGGCACAGGATGCTGGCATCTGTCCTCCAGTGACCAAGTGTCCTTCTCAGCAAACCAGACGGGGTGTTATCACCACCACGAGATGCCCTCTCATGCTTTTAAATGAAGATAACCTTCATTTCTTTTTTAAGTTTTTATTTCAAAATTGGTGGGTAGAGCCAAATGAATATTATGTGGCTTCACTTCTGCAGATCCGCTGCCCCACAGCTTTGACACTGAAGCCCACAATTCCAGGGAGGCCACGAGGCTGCTGGAAACACACTAGGTCATGAGACAGGACTGAGGCAGCCCTGGCTCTGTGCCCACTTGTCCCGAATGAGTCTGTCTACTGGCCTTCCCAGACTGGGCGGGAATGCTCACGGCTCCAACTGGTAGAAGCCAAAGCTGGAGTGAGGGCTGAGCCTGCTCCTCACCCCAATTTGAGTCAGGAAATCAGCTCTCTGAGGCCAAACGAGGGCTCTCTTCCCTGTCCCGCACAATGTCTCAAACAAGGAGGCACTCAAAATTGCTCCTGGGAGAGGAGGCTGCAGGTCCTAACTCTCCAGGCCAAATGCAATGAATGTTGTCTGAAGCTGAGGAGAGACTTAGAAAACTTGAGGTTTTCCTCCTGTGAGCATCACTGCAATCGTTCCAAACACCGATCCCAGCCCCTATTGCACCTATCTACTACATACTAATCACCACAGTCCTTTCTTTCCTGAACTAATATTCAAATGCACAAGCATCTGTGGCTAAACAAATCTGGGATTTCTTAATCATTTATTGACTAACAAGAAAGTAACTCAAAAATCCCAGTTACTTACCAGTAACCTCTTTTTCTTTGAAAATGTATCATCCTTGACCATTTATGCAATTCAGTCTTGTCTTTCTCAGGCTCTAAAATGATGCTGAGCTCATGGGCAGTCCCCAGTGTTTAGCCTGATCAGAAAGGCCCAGCTCCTGGGCTCAGCACTCAGCAGGCAGCCTGTATAGACTACCTACATTCTTCAACTCTCCCTCCTTTGAGAGCTGACCACAGGACCATAAGAGTTCCAGCCACGGCAACAGTGGCTTTAAAGACAGTGCCCTCTGCTGGCCATCAAGGATGCTACCTTTCCAGAGAAGCAGCTGACTGGTAAGGAACGGGTCCCTCATAGGAGGGTAGACTTACATCAACCAGCTGGTACAACAGGCTGGGCCACTGGGGCTGCAGAGGGAGCCGCGCCCAAACTAGCGGCTGTAGGAGGACACAGCCCAACTGAGACTCTTGGCAGAGGCTGGTTCCAAGCAAAAACTGTTATGGAAACCCGTGGAGGGAAGAGCAGGTGAGTGGCCTGCAGGGAATGGAGAGACATTAACACACCTACTATGTGCTACGCATGGCGCTAGACTTCACAAACGCTAGTTATTCAAACACACAGTTCCCTAGGGTACAGGGGGACCCCTCCTCCCCCGAGGTCAGTCCCAGAGCCCTCCAGCCTTGAGTCCTGAACAGGAGGGCAAGTAGAGCTTCCTTGGAGCAGGAAGAAGCACTCTGTCAAAAGACTGTGTCTTTTGACCCCTGAGATCGCCATAAACAGCCTGCATTCTCCCAGCTGAGGTGACAACCCCGGGACAGGCGGTTTCTGACACTCCTGTGTTCTTAAGGGTTCCACTGCAGGCACAGCCTGGTTAAAGCTGGTGAAACAGTGTATGGCTGAAACCTCGGCTCCCTGGGGGGCAAAGTGCTAAAGAGGTGTGCTTCCAGTGTGGGAGCACCAGTACATGGACAGGGTAAGAGGCTGGGAAGCAAAGGCGACAACAGGGCAGAGGAGCCGGCTCCTTCCTGGACAAAGTGCGTGGCTCCAAAGGTAAAGGGCCAGAAGACACAGTAGCAAGAAAAGCAGGCTGAAGGACAGACACATCTCCTGTGTTGGAGCCACACAGAGGAGGGGCCAAGAAGCCAGCCACTGCTGGTGGGTCCCCAACAATCGGCAGCATGGGGCACTGAGTATATACAAAGGGATGGCAAGCTCAGACTTCTCCCAGGGAAAGCAGACACCTAGAGGGCAGAGAGAGAAAGCTCAACCCCTACCTCACTCCTTACAGCACACAGAATCCTGACAGGTTGAGGAGAAATGTACACAAAGAGACAAAGAACTAAAAGGACCACAGGAGAGAGCAACCTCTACAGAAAACCAACCGATCTCGCTGCTGTCAGCTCAATTCCAATGGGGCAGGCCCATGAGGACAGGGTCGAACTGCCTCACAGAGCTTTTCTACAGTTGAGTTGCTGACCTCTCAGTTAACAGCTGAGCTCTCTAGCCACTGTGCCACAAAGACCCCTTTAAAAATGACTTAAAAAAAGAAAACTAAACTCACTAGCAACAGGGACAAGTGTTTTCTTTTTTAAAAAAAAAAAAAAGGTATTTGCAATATCCATGAAATCCTTACCAATTATGAGAAAAGCAAAACAAAACTGCCATCAAGTGGATGCCAACTCATAGCGACCCTACAGGGCAAGGTAGAACTGTCCTTGTGAGTTTCCAAGGCTAACCTTTATCCACAGAGCATATGATGGTTTCAAACTGTTGACCTTGTAGTTAGCAGAGTCCAACACATAACCACCATGGCTCTAATCATGTGAAAGGGGTCCCCTAATTTTCAAAGATTCCAGAGCACAATAGCAAATTCACAAAATATGTAGAAAGACAATGACAGAGGCTCTACCTCCCTGGTTAAACAACAACAACAAATTCAAATTGTAACAAATTTCACCTATCTGACAAAGACGTGGTAGGTACTAGATCCTTTGTTGAGTATATTGGTCAAAGTGTCAACCTTCAAGAACAGGCTGGGGTAGGCAATTGGTACTATCTACTCAATTCTAGACGTGACAAAACTAGAGCCGCCCATTTAAATACATGCATTTGCTTCTGCACTGGATACAGAGACACACATGTGAAAAGCTGCACAGCAGCACCATTTGCAGCCATCGTACACTGATGGCGAGGGACTGTGGAGCATCTCTGAAATGACAGGGTGGGGGCACAGCCACTGCAGTCATTTCTCAGAGTGAACATACTGCCATGACCAGAGTGTTCGTCTACGCACACATCTTTAGGAAGGAAAGCCAGACTGAGACAAGACAAGAGGCTTCTGGCCTGTTCGATGATTTCTGTAATAAGAGTTTTTAATCAGCAAGAAGTTAAAATAAAGAGCTTCAGCTTTCTCCCACACATAGGCCAGTTTAAAAACTGGTACCTGTGGTATACATGGGTAGTTCCTGCAATTCGCCCCAACCCTCCCAAAATGCTGCTCAAGTGACATTCTTTTGTAACATCTAAATAGGAAAACAAAGCAAATCTTTAACAGTAAATTTAAGTCAACCAGGCTATCAGGTTAAATTATAACAAAGTTCTAGATCAAATAAAACTAACTTAGAACAAGCTCTAACATCCCAGAGTAGAGAGGCATTTGCTTTGCTTTTGGTTTATTTTGTTTTCT